TTCCTTGGCTGTTGGAGGTGATAAGGGTCGGGGAGGGGAAATGAAGACTGGCCTCCGATTCCCCTCCGAGGTCGCTGTAGCGTGGACGAGAGAGGAGGGCAGAGTAAAGTGAACACACAGCCGGTTACAAGGGGGCCGGCGCGCGGTCTCCGAAGAAGGTTGTTGGGCCTGCGAGGCCGCCCCTGAGCGGGCGGGGCGCGGGAGGGGAAGTGAGAGGTTGTTTCTGACCGGGCACTAATCTCCGCCAGTCACACTGCTCCCGCGGGGCCGCGGGGGCGAGGGGCGAGCCTCGCCTGAGCCTCCCGCGGCCTTGGACCCGCCGCAGGCCAGGAGCGCTGTGATCGGGAGGATCCCCAGAAAGGGAACAAGCCCTCTGACTTAACCCAACCCCAGAAGGGTATGGGAGACTCGAATAATGTAAACGGTTCGTTGCCTTTTATATCCTCGTGAAAAGAATTGGTCCTACTCAGAGAAATATGCCCTTCTCAATCCACGTTTACAGGTCCACAGAAAACAAGTGTCAGAGCTAAAAGAACATTGCCAAATCATAATCCGTTCTCCTCATCGTAAGGTGAAAAACCGACTTCGGCTTCCCCAGTAACTCAGAGAATGGGTTCCCCTTAACCCTGGCAGTACGTCTTCCTCTCATTCCATATGCTGCCTCTCAGACTGGAGCCAAATACGTGTGAAGGAAGACAAGCCCTGTCATCTTAACAGAAGTAATGAATCCGCACCCACATGTCCGGAGAAAACAATTTCCTCAAATACACTAGTTGAAAACTGCAGACACTGCGTTAAAGAGAAGTTGAGTTAGGGACGTAACAGCCCTTACTTACAAGACTAGATATTTATAGGACCTCTTTACTAGCCTTGGATTTCCAAATTTTATTCTTTATCCTGGAATTCTTATTTCCCTACTGATCTTTTAAAGAAAGTATTTCTGGGCCAGTGGAATGGAGGTTACAACAGCTGGATCCCACATGGCTAACTCCAGAATTCAAGCAAGGGCTTGAAAGCCCTGTAGGCCTGGGGTGCAAAACTCTTAAGAGAAGAATGGAGAAGGGATTGTGGAGTGGGCCATCCCCCTTAAGGGGAGGGTCTCATCTCACTTTCTCTCTCCCTCTCCCTCACCCACCCCTAGTTTTTTTTTTTCTTTTTTCAAAATGATTATTTGCATAACTTTCATAGAATTTGTCTTTAGTTTTCTATAGCAGTGCTTTTCAAACTGATCTGTAGTCTGGCTTGTCTAAAAATATGTTTAAATCCAAGAATTTCTTTTAGGAGTCTGTACTTTACTCTGTTTTGAGAAATAGTAAAGTATTGGTAGGATTTGGATATGGGTAATGAAGAAGGAAGCTACTGATGAAAAAAGCCCTTCCAAACATTGAAGATGTGAAGAAAAGTTAGGATAGCATTGCTGAGGGCTTCCTGGGGAACAGTGAAGTTCAACTAGTGCCTGAAGCATTAGGCCAAGAAAGGTAGGCAAGGTCTAGACAGTAGAGTACCTTCATTCCAAGCTCAGGAATTTTTTTCCCATATAAGTTAGAGAACTTTTAGTTGGGGTGCTAGGTACAAAGCAGTTTTTAAAGGAAATCATACTAAGTAGACAGCATGCAATAACATGACCTTACCTATCAGCTATTGGAAATCATTTTCCAGTGGCACAGTCCTGGATGTTTCTTCCCTCAGTGGTGTTGGCAGGTTGTCATACTAGGGCTAGAAGTGGAAATGTACAGTAGAGACAGGGTTATATGTGGATGTCAGAAGTTGCAAGTCTAGTGAGCCAACCTGGAGCAAATAACCAGAACCTATGTTCATGAGGATGCCTAAGAATGAGATCAAAGATGAGAGAGAAGTCTAGAAGTACTGGAAGGCAAGGACCTGAGTTAGAAAAGGAAATTAGGACATAAAATAGATAGTAAACCAAGAGGTAATCAGAGGGGGCCAGCTCCATTGCAAAATGATAATACACTGCTCAAGAGAAACCAGATCTCACATGATGACCGTGGTTCAAAATCCCCGGCCTGGTAAGCCTTAAAACATACTGGGCACATGAGCAAGTGCCCAGGATCCCACAGGGTGGAGGACTGGAGGAAGGGGTTTAAAGTGTGACCAACCACAAAGAGTGTATTCTCTGTGTCAATGTATATGTGCATACATGCATTCTATCATGAATAAAGGGAGAAAAAAGGCAATCAGAAACTAAAAATCATTGGCAGTTGGTCTCTCAACAAAATTGTGAATAGGCCGAGTTTATTCTTAGTGACTGGTTGATAATTTAGCTACTGGTTGATGAAAGCTTAAAGTAGTGACTTTTAACCAGCATCAGCATCACCTATCAAGCTTAAGAAAAAGTGATAGGGGTGAGCAGGTGGTGTGCTGGTTAAGGTATTGGACTCCCACATGACTTATTCAAGTCTCGGACCAGCAGCTCAAGACTCACGCCAGGCACATGTATGTGCATGCCAAAAATTCCAAGAGAAGAATGGAGAAGAAGGGATTATAGCGTGGCTGTCTTGCCAGGTGGTGAGTTTTTGCTTCCTGTCTCTCTGTCTCTCTGGCAAGCCCATACAACTTATAGCAAAAATATCTCAAAAAAAGTAATGTACCAAGTGCCCATCCCCAGAGAAAAGTGATACAGTAGGATTGGGATGGACTCTGGTCATCTCGTTAAAGCTCTTACAGTGAATCTTATAAGTAATACTGATTAAGGACCACGTGCTGAGGCCAGCCCTGCAGGACAGTGGTTAAGTGCTATATGGAGGGAAACTGAATTCCACAATTCCACATAGCAACTGCAGTTTTGAGTCCCAGCCCAGTGGTGGCTTAAAAAACAAACAAACAAAACAAAAAAGAAGATCCTGGCAGGAAGGAGGAATGAAGGAAAAGAGACTGTAGTGTGATCACATCCAGTTGTCCCCTCCCCAACTCTGGCAAGCACATGCAATCCTCCTGCATTAAAAAAAAAAAAAAAAAAAAAAAACAACAAAAAAACTCGTGTAGTGGTTAAGGTAGCTGGATCCCACATCATATGGTCTATTCACGGTTCAAGTCCCATATCCAGTGATTTGAAAATCACCCACGCGTATGTGTGTGCATACACACACGTGTGCACTCAAAATCCCAAGAGAGATGTAGAACGGATTGGAGCATAGCCACCCCCTTAAGGGATACTTTCTCATTTTCCTTCTATCTCTACAGCAAATATGTGTACTCTATAGCAAACTAAAAAAGAAAAAAAAAAGATATGCTTAAGACTACATGTATAAGAAAGTTACTGCATTTTTTCGAAGAACTCAGATATATATGATTATCAATGTAATAGTGGATTTGTATCACATGTTTATTTAAATTGCTTAAATTTGACTACGTTTTGCAAAAGAAAGAGAAAACTAAATAGTGCTAGAGAGAGTCCTACTATTACTTCAGTAAGCTTAGGCCCTGGAGTAAGCAAGAGATAGCAACCATGAATCTCTTCTTCACTTAGTCTCTGTGATTCTAGGAAGATTCTGTGCTTAGTCTTATTTTCTTAAAACACGGTCCCTAAATGCAAGCCAACTCTTTCATCAGACTTGCAGTGCTAGAGGGAAAACTAGTTGGGATAGTGTGTTCTAACCCCCATGCTATTGTAGTCTAGGGCATTAGGGTAGATTTTTCTAGGAGAACATAGGTCAAAAGGTATGTGGGAAAGAATTGTTCTTTGCTACTGTTTTTAAAGGAGTGCTCTTGCTTCAGTTTAAAAGGGAAATAGATTATATGCAAACCTTTGAAAGAACTGTGACCCTGGCTTAAATAATGCCTAAATTGTTGAAATGGAGCTTTTCTAACAGAATTAAGAACTGATGAATTAGATTCATTTGTAGGAGCCAACCAGAGTCCTTTTAAATTATTTTAAGCTAATTAAGCAGGGTAACACAGTTTAAAAATAATTACATGCCAATGACTTGGTTTATGCTATCTGGATGTGCCATCTGAACCGAATAATCAGATGTACTTAGTGTTCCTCATATGTAACCTAACAAACTTTCTTTTGGCTGTCTTAATGTTTACTAAGCTCTCTGCTATACTACTTTCTTTAGCTCATAATAGTCAATGATGTAAAGACTACCAAAAAACATGTAAAAATAATAAGCATGAAAAGTTAGATGTGAAACTTTCCAGCCTATGTTATCAGATAATACATATATGAGGAAATTTAATTTTGGGCATACTAATATGTAATATAAATCATCAGGAAAACATGCTAGTAGAAACTACTATTAAGAAATTAGGGAGGCAGCAGTTGGTATGGTAGTTAA